CTCGAACTTAGAAATCCGCCTGCCTCTGCCTCCCAAGTGCTGGGATCAAAGGCGTGCGCTACCATTGCCCAGCTAGAAATCTTTTCTATATATGTTCTCGATTTTTTACTTTGTTTATGGGCTAAGAAAATCCATTCCATAATACTATCTTCTCTTTGGATAATGAGCCTAGAAGGAGAATAAGTTGAAAATAAAATGAGGAGAATGCAATCAAGTTTAGGATCAATCCGATCCACAGATGCCTGTCACAGTCTCTGTTCTACAAGAGTTAACTCTTTTTATGCTTCCATTGTTAGATATCTTAGACTGTTTAAATTTGAATCTCCTTGTAACGTTTGAAACAAATTACTTAACTTATATGTACTTAACCCAATTGTAGACATCAGCCAGTTAATATCGCCCACTAATTTTTAAAAATCATTAAGAGTTTGCACTTGGTCCCTATGAAGCTGTATCTTTTGTGGTTGAGTTTTTTTTTTTTTTTGTTGACTGATTTTGTAACCCAAAAGACTAAGTGAATCTCCTCTTTGTATTTTTTTTTTTCCTGGAACAATCTGTAATCCCCAGAATGGCAGAATTCTCTGTGTTACCTTAGACATAGTTTCTGAAACATCTTTGTCAGAATCAGCCAACAGAATGTCATCCACATAATGATCAATGATAGATCGAGTGAATTACTTACAAATAATTTCTAGTGGCTGTTGCACAAAATGCTGGCATAAAATTGGACTATTTACCATTCCCTGTGGAAGTACCTTCCAGTGGTATCTCTTTAGTGGATGACTATTATTCAGAGTAGGTACTGAGAAAGCAAAACTTTCCCTATCCTGCTCGTACAAGGGTAAAAAAGCAATCTTTCAAATCAGTTATTATAATAAGCCATGATCTCGGTAACAACAATGGTAAAGGAAGTCCAGGCTGTAAAGGACACATTGGTTGAATTACCTTGTTCTCTTAAATCAGTTATCATCTTCCATTTTCCTGATTTCTTTTTTACGACAGACACAGGGGAATTCCGTGGAACACCATAAGATATGGTGGACTCTTCTATATGTTGAACCTCCAGCTGCTCTTGTAGTAGTTGTTCAAGTGCCTACATTTTGGGGTGTGGGCGGGGGGGCACTGCACTTGTCAGACAGGCTTGTTTGATAACCATATTAGGGGTAAGGATGTTGGTATGCCAGCGGTAGCCCCTTTTATAAATTTGGAAACTCAATATTTGAGATGTCCTGTGTTTGGATAATGGGCAGCACAGATTGTGGTGGTTCTTGATCACCCACATCAATACCTTCCCCAGGAGAATTGCAAAAGATCCCTCCCCTATAAGTTTATGGGTATGTTAACCACATAAGGTCTCAACTTCCCTGTTTGTCCTTCTGATCCCTCGCAGGTAATCCATCAGACACTATGTCTTATTCATGATAATTTATCAATTCCTATAAATTGTGTGTAAACATTCTCAATTGGCAAATCTGGATTCCGAGAATTTTGGGGAAGTATACTAACATCAGCTCCTATATCCAGCAAACCTTCTATGCCAATACCACTCATTTATAACATTAATTTGGGTCTCTGATCATTAACCACTGTTTGCCAAAACTCATGTTTTCCAGTACTCCCTGTCCTTTCTATTGGAGTGGCCTTGCTCTTTACGTAAGGAGAGAACAGTTGAGCAATTCTATCCCCTGCATTCATTTGCATCTCCTTTTTCACACTACCCCTTCCACAATAAATCCTTGAAAAGTTAATCCACTTCTTCCCAAGATTATTCCCACTGTCTCTGAGTGTAAAGGATCATAAACACCAGTAGTTAACTTGTAACATTCAACTTTTGGGGATAACGTGAGAGGTATCTATGGCCAGGTCTAAAGCTGCATTTCCTTCTGTAGCATGTATAAAATCAAAAATACTCAGTTGTGATTTTCTTGCCTGCTTGGTATGACCTGGTTGACCAAAGGAAACTGGCACTTATTGTTTGCTGCAGGGCCTGGAGCGGACAGGCCCCTTAGTTTGTTTCCTGATGTTGAGTGGTTACCTCATACATCTCTCTTAAACTGACAATCCTTAGACCAATGTTTGCCCTTTCTGGAGTGGCTACAATACCATGGATGTCTTAGAGGCTCAAAGTAACTAGAACCTGTTTGTTCTTTTCTATGAATATCTTATTCTCTAGTCTAGAGAGACATTGTCTCAAAAAGCAATTGTTGCAGAATGTGATGGCATATACTCTTATCTCAGTACTCTGGGAACTAGGAAGAAGCAGATTTGTTTGAGTTAAAGGCCAGCTTGGTCTATACCTGTCAAAGCATAGTAGCATGCACTTGAAATAAATCCCTGAGGCTTGCTGACTAGCCAGCCTGGCCCAGTCAGTGAGATTCAGGTTAAGTATAAGACTCTGTCCTGAAAATAAAGGTGGTCAGAACCTAAAGGATGGCAGCTGAAGTTGGTTCTGGTCTCCACATACATATGCATCTCTACATTAAGAAAAAAATATTCTAGGGGCTAGAGATAGATCTATTTATCTAAAACTCTCTAGACAATCTCACTTAAAACATAATTCTTGCTCAACCACTAAAGTCAATCAGTATTCCCTCTTTGTATCTTTACTTGGATAGGCCACAGGGTTCCATGAAAGCCCTGACTTCTACAAGCCATATTGCTTGTAGTTGGCTTTCAGGTATCAGGTGACCACATAGAGCTGAGGTCTCCTTTCACTACTCTCCAGAACCAGAGAGCCTCAATCGAGTGCCTGTCTTATATCTATATTTAAAAGCTCACAGTAGGAATAGGCTTATGTAGTGGGTAAGAGCACCACCTCCTGGTCTCTTCAGTAACTTCAGTTTAAGCAGGTTCAGAGGGCTGGAATTATGAAAACGTAAACCTTTAGAATAGTCTTTGTTTCCTAGCAGCTGTAGAGTATTATATCAGGACTCAGGATGTGACTCGGTTGGAGTATTGCCCTACCATTCATGAGGTCTTGGCTTTGATCTCCAGCACTACATAAAAAACCTGGCCGGTTGCAGCACCCAGCAAAATCAGTTCATGGTCAGCTCCAGAGTGAGTCTGGGGCCTGGGTTACATGAGATCCTGTCTTTAAAAAGGGCTAAAGACATTTTGCCACTGAATCCCAGGTCCTGGTGAAGAAATCTGACTCCTAAGGCTGTCCTCTGACCACAGCTGTGGTGGTTTCCCCAACACACACAAGTTAACTTTAGAGTTTGCCTGCATGTATGTTTATACACACGTGTGATCAGTGCCCAAAGTTGGAAGAGGACACTGGATCCTCTGAAACTGGAGTTAGGGATGTGGGTGCTGGGAACTGAACTGAGGTGCTATTTGAAAGCAGCAAGTGCTTTTAACTGCTAAGCTATCCAACCCAAATAATTTTAAGAAGGTACTTCAGAAAAATGTGCTACATGGTACAGGTGCAAGCCTTTAATCCCAGCACTCGGGAGGCAGGTATCTTGAATTCAAGGGCAGCCTGGTCTACAGAGTGAGTTCCAGGACAGCCACGACTATACAGAGAAACTCTTGTCTATAGACTCTGTAGAATAGACTGGCCTCTGAACTTAGAGATCCTCCTGCCTTTGCCTCCCCCAAGTGCTTGGATTTGAGGCGTGGGCCACCATCACCTGGCTAAAATAAGGCATTTAATGTAAAAATAATTTTTTTTTTAGCCTCTAGATGATGCAAGCACAAGTAGCAGAGCTAGTTTTGGCTCACAGGTCATTAGCTCAACTAAGTCCTGAAAGGAGTGAAGCATGGCAGACACCGTCTTCAAAATACAAAACTAAAAAGGGAGTGGGGTGGGGAGCTTTGAGGCCAGAAAAGGTACCTAGGGCCTCTATAGTGAACTCAAACAGGTCTTAGCCCCAGCCCCCTACTTGTACAAAGCTTTGAGGCCTTACACACAAAAATACAACTCTGAACACACCATGAACCATTCATTTTATTGTTTTGTAGTAAGACAGAGCTTTGACCATGCAGATGTCCTCAAGGAGCTGCCATGGCCAGCTACCTTTAGCAGGTTACCAGGTGACCATGGAAACCAAACAGGGGAGGCTGCTGTGGCGCCTTCATTTTTCATACATGAAACCTGGTGTCTGCTCTCACAGGCCAGCCAGGGTGCTCTCCCCACTCTTCCCTCACTCTGTCTGAGTTGGTTGCATCCTACGGCTTTTTAGTCTACTCCCTTGGCCCAGGAATCTCTCTGCTCATCCACTTCCTGTGGTGATGGAGATCACACCCGGTCTACGAATGCTAGGCAAGCACGCTCTCGGCCAGCTCTGCCTCCCAGCCCCTGGCTGGTCTGCATCAGCAACATTACAGTTAAGGTACTAACAGTCAGGTGACCAACTTAAACAGGACATAATTACTCCCATGGACCAACTTCAAGACAGAACGGTCCTGCTCAGATCCCTCTCAACCTCACCATTCTGTCTCTTCCTCCTCCTCACCACAGGGCCCAGGATGTACCTACTTCACACCAAGGCTCAGGGGTTGTCAGTTCCACTTCCTTGACCGTGACTCAACCATGTGGGAACTTACCATTCTGTTCTTGATAGTGTTAAAAAAAAGATCAAATACATCCAGGAACTTAACAGACAACAGTCAAGTAACAGTCGAGTTGTTGCAAATGCCTCTCAACGTCAGGAAAGCTTACTTCAAAATTAAAAAGTACTGTAAACGTGTAATAGTAACAGCTACTGAGAACAAAACGAGACAGTTACCTGGCACTCACACTTGAGAATCCTGCCTGTCAATTTAATAGGATTCTGTACCAAGAACTGTAGTTTTATCCCCCAAAGTTGGCAGATGCACGCTGGCTTCTGGAAGCTTCATTGTCAGGCCCCAATACACGAAGATGAGCACAGGGCACGCTTAGCAGATACCACAGGACTTACGTCAGTGCCACTTGAGGGAAGGAGAGATCAAATGTGGGTCTGTGCACTCAAATAGAATCCTCCAGTAGGAAAAATTATTACCACATGACATCCTGCTTTACCTTAGGCAATAGCTAAGATTTTAATCTGTGGAACTCATCTCTGAAAATCACAACAAAAATCTGTATGACATGATTTAATATAAAATATACAATTTCTCAGTATGAAGACCCACAGAACAGGAAAGCAATTGACAACCAAATAGATTTCTTTAAAAAAAAAAAAAAAAAAAAAAATCCTTGCTCAAAACCAAGCCAGTGCAGAAGTAGGAGCCTGCGGCCTGCAGCTGGGACTGGCTCAGGCCTGCTCCACACTGTCCTCAGCACAGCTCTCTCCCGACAGCACTGAGTTGTGGGTCCACTGGAGGTGAGTGCCAGCCTCCCAGCATCGCCCTTCCTTTGCCCAAGATGACCACAGGTCACTCGCTGTCAAACTTGACCGAATTGACCTGGACAGAGATGGAGCCTCCGCGGTAGCTGCCTCGCTTCTTCTTCGTTTTTTCATGCCGGAAGGACTTGCCTTTGGTGAACTTCAGAACCTGATTGGCTCGCTCACCCCAGTCTCCAGCTGCACCTCGCTGGTAAATACATAATGAAGTTATTACAGAGAAGACAATCCAACAGCCTGTCGTATTCTTCCTCTGTTGCCCTCTCAAAACATTTTAATCCATGAGGTCCCAGCAACCTGAACCGACAACTACCCTCCCTCCCAGGTCCCACAAGTGGCAAAGAGCCCTTACCTTGGCATCAAAGGAATTGTCTGCCACTCGAGAGTCCACCTCAATCTCCTCCTCCCTGACCCTTCGGAAAGGGGAAGATGCCCTTTTTTCTCCCTAGAGAAAAAAATAAAGAATAAAGTAACGTTAAATTGGTGATTTAACAGCTCTCCTTAAAAGCCTATGGTATCAGACCAGACTGAACCATGAAATTGTCCCGGGAATCTATGGTTTAAAGGGCCAGGTTCTGAGAATGACGTGGTGCAACGTGCCTTCTTCCTTTTTGGAAACGTATTGGGGGTCTGGAGCTTAACTTTCTTAGCTTGAGGAGTTGCTACTTCATCTGCTGTCTCACTCTGCTTCCGTTTCTTGCCTGAACCTACAAAACAAAGTGAGGCTCAGGAGCCAGGCCTCCTGGGAACCTGGCACCAGAACTCAGGAGGCAACTAGCTCCCTGTCCACCTCCCTCCCTCAGTACATTCCAGTATTACAGGACACAACCCAGGGGATGATTCTACAGACACATGCCTGGCTTGGTCCCAGCTGCCTTTTTCTTCTCTTCTGTTTCTTCCTCCTCCTCTTCCTCCTCACTTGCCTTGCCTGCTTTTCCATTCTGAGAAGCTGGAGTGCCATTGACCTTGCTTGCCTGGGACTTAGGAGTGGCCTTGCCCTTGGGTGTTTTCTCTTCTTCACTGGAATCTTCGGAGGAGCTGCTGCTGCTGCTGCTGCTCTCGGCTACTGCTTTCTTCACAGGGGCTGGTTTGGGAACGGTTGCACCTGCTGCCTTCTTCTTAGCTGGGGGCTTAGGTGTCTTCTCCTCCTCTTCACTGCTGGAACTATCTGAATCTGAGCTGCTGTCCCCGCCAGCCTGAGGAGTCTGTTTGGCGGGTGCTGCTTTAGCTGTCACCTTGGCCTTGGGGGTTGTCACACTTTTCTTGGCAGCCTCTTCCTCGCTGGAGCTGCTCTCCTCACTGGAGCTGCTGTCCGCCTTCCTGCTCTGAGGTTTCTGGCCACTGCCTGCAGGTTGCTTAGGAGTTACCACTGCCTTTGCTTCAGATGGCTTGGGAGTGACAGCTGGCTTGCTTAAGGGACTCTTGGTGGTACTGACTGGCTTGGCAGGAGCTTCATCCTCAGAACTGTCAGAATCTGGAGAGAGGAGACAGAATGAACAGCTCCCCAAATCACATTCAGGGAGTCCTGTAACAGCAGCCCAAGGCAGTGAGTACCCACTAGCCCGAGAGTCTGGGCAGCATTACCTGAGCTGTCTGAAGAGCTCTCTGCTTTCTTCTTCACTGGAGCTGGTTTGGCAGGTGTCTTGGAGACAACCGTCTTTGCTGGTGTTTTTTTCTCTTCCTCAGAACTTGAATCTGGGGAGAAATTGTGACATTAGGATGGGTCTAGAATTGCAAGCCAAGCAGGAGAGCACTGGGAAAGTGTGACAGTGCACACAGTATCCAGTCACAACACAGGCACAGCACTTCTTTCCTCACCCTTCCCTGGGCCTCACCAGACTCATCACTGCTGTCCTCACTGCTGTCTGCAGGCCGTGTCTGTGCAGCAGCTTTCTTTGGAGACTGGGCTCCCGAGGACTTCTTTGGTAAAGGAACAGTAGGTGGTGGAACTGAACTGTAGGGACCTGTTTAAAACACAGTTTTGAAACATGCATTTGGGAGGCACTGCGGTTCATGCCTGCAATCCTGACACTCATAAGGCTGAACAGGAAGACTGCTGTGAATCTGAGGCCATAGGCTACAGAGGGAAGATATTGTAAATAGGCAATCAAATAAAACAGGTCTGGGGGTGATATACTCCTTTAATCCCAGCTCTTGGGAGGCAGAAGCATACAAATGTTTGAATTCAAGCCCAGCCAGGTATACAAAGTAAGTTCCCAGACAGTCAGAGCTACATAGTAAGACCATGTCTCTGAGTAACAGAAAAATATGCACAGGACTGAGGGTATATCTCCTAAGTACAAATCCTGCCCAGCATGCACAAAGCTCTGGATTTAATCTCTAGCATCAGAAAAGAAAATAAGTACTTAAATTCTTTGAATCTGTCTATCTAAAACAGGGCTTAGTCCCTTCCTGCAGAATGTGGGCTGCATTAGTAAGTCAGTCCCAACAGCGGGTCACTTGGTTACATGAGGCGGTGTGACTCCTCTCTGCTTGTTCTGGATCCCTTTATGGAAGAAGCTAGTCATTATGCACCAGGACTTGGCTTACGGACACTGATGCCCCTGTCCAATCACCTGCTTTTTTCTTCATGGGTTTTTTCTGTTCCTCTTCCTCTTCACTGGAAGAATCTTCACTGCTGGAACTCTTTTGGGTAGGGGTGGCAGTTACTTTCACTGGTGCCTTGGCCACGACTTGCTTTTTAGGTGCATTCTTCATTAGAGAGAAAATTAACATTAGAGGAAAACATCTTCCTAAACAATCCTGACAGAGGAGAGACACACACACCCTGAAGTCCTTAATGTCATCCTTGCTACAGAGTTACAACCCTAACCTTCTTGGGAGGTGCGGCTGCCTTCTTCTCTTCCTCCGAGTCATCGCTGCTGCTACTGCTGCTGCTGCTGCTTGCTGCTTTGCCATTGGCTACTTTAGGCTGTACTTTCGCTGGTGTACCTGAGAAACAAAAGCAGTATTAAACAAGTTGGGAAATTTCAAATGGCTACCGTAGGACTTAAAGAGTCGCTTTAAGGCTAGTGGAATGGCTCAGCAGGTAAAGGAGGACCTGAGTTTGAAGCCTAGACGTTATATAGTAACAGGCGAGAACCAACTCTTTCAAGCTGTTCTCTAAGCTCTACTATATGCATGCTGTGAGCTATGCTCCGATTCACCCACAAATACAATAAACCATTTAAACGCCCATCGTGAAGCCTTTCTTTGCAGTCTTTATCCATCAGAAGGACGAAACAGCTCAGTTGTGTGCAATGACAGCACAGGAGGAAAATGGCCATGACGAGCAGCAGAGAGCACACGTGGGCTGTGTGCCTAAAGGACAATGATTACTTACCACATACCACCATGTGTCTGCTGGGTTTGGGGCTCTAACCCTAGGTTGAGCTTAGGTGCATACAACTATGCTAAGCTAAGAAATGTCTATTAATCCTAGCACTCCAGAACCTGAGGCAGGAGAATCACTAGTTCTAGGCCACTGGACTAGCATGAGACCTAACCTTACCCAACAAACAAGTAAGTATGTATGATACATACACCCTTGGCAGAGGCAAGAGGATTGAGTTCAAGTCCAGCCTGGGTTTTTAGAGCCTCAATCAAAATTCAAATTAGCTGAGAATGTTGGGGCATGGCTTTAAAGCAGTACTCAAGAGGCAGAGGCAGGTGGCTCTCTGAGCCAGCCTGGTCTATAGAGCTAGTTCCAGGACAGCCAGGGGTACACAGAGAAACTATGTTTCAAAAAACTAACCAAAAAAGGAAAAACAAGAACCCTGTTTCAAACAAACAAAAAAATTAAAGATTAAAAAATAAATAATAAAATAAAAATTAAGAGGCTAGAGAAATGGCTCAGTAGTCATTTAACATTTACTGCTCTTCTACAGAACATGAGTTCAGTTCGCAGCACCCACATCCCAGAAGCCTTTAGCCCCCTGAAGTCACCTGCATGTATATGGGGCACTGGAATGTACAAGGACATGCACATTTTACAAATAAAATGCATTGTATTTATTTACTAGATTTATTTATGTATTTTATATACATGGCTACTTTGTTTACATGTACACCTCCGCACCAGAAGAATACATCTGACAGTTGTGAGATCCCATGTGGGTGCTGGGAATTAAACTCAGGACCTTCAGAAGAGTGCTGAGTACTCTTAACCATCTTTCAAGCCCCACAAAAATAAATAAATAAATAAATAAATAAATAAATAAATAAAATAAAGGAAAATAAAAGGTTTGCTGGGCAGTGGTGGCACATGCCTTTAATCCCAGCACTTGGGAGGCAGAGGCAGGCGGATTTCTGAGTTCGAGAGTTAGCCTGAGGCTAGCCTGGCCTACAGAGTGAGTTCCAGGACAGCCAGGGCTTCACAGAGAAACCCTGTCTCGAAAAAAAAAGACAAAAAACAAAAAACAAAAAAACTTGCTTCTCTTACATACTGGCCCTAGCCATAAAGTTAATTACGTTTCTGATTTTTTTTTTTCCCTCTTTGAGCGGCCTGGAACTTGCTGAATGGACTGAGCTGGCCTTAAACTGACAGCAATCACATGTGACTGCAAGCATTAGAGGTATGCACTCACGGTGCCTGGCCATGCACATGTGTGCAGTGCTGAGAGCCTCAGACATGCTAAGCAAGTATATGTATCCCCACAGCCTTATTTTTACCCCGAAAACTTTGAGACAGGGTCTGGAGAAATTTCCCAGGCTTAGCAGGGTGTGGTGGTGCACAAACACCTTTAATCCCACCAGTTGGGAGGCAAAAGCATTTGCTCAGAAGTGGGTGGATCTCTTGAGTTTGAGGCTAGCCTGGGAGATCCAGGACAGCCAAAGACCTGTCTCAAGCCTGGCTAAAGGGAAGTTATGAACGTCTGTGGTTCAGCAACATACCATTTCACACTGGGCCCACCCTCCCCTCCCAGAAACACAAATACCTGGTTTGGCTGGGGCTTTAGTCTGAGCTTTAGCTGCCACAGCTGTCTTTGGCTTCTGGGTCTGGGGTGCTTCATCCTCTGAGCTTGAGTCAGACTCAGACTCAGAGCTCTCTGCCTTCTTTGGAGGAGGTTTGACTGCCTTGGCTTGGGGCTTAACTGCTTTCGGCTAAAACAAGAGAGAACAAAGATGGTGGCAAGCTGCTGTAATCCCAGCACGTGGGAGGAAAAGAACTCTGGGAGTTCAAGGCCAGCCTGCTCAACACAAAAGTTCCAGGACAGCCAGAGCTACACAGAGAAACTCTGTCTCAAACAATCAAAACACACATGTGGACAACAAGAGCCCCTAAGTGCTCAAAAGACAAGAAGATGCATTTATTTTTTGGTTTTTTTGTTTTCTTTTTGAGATAGAGTTCTCTGTAGCCTTGGCTGTCCTAAAACTTGCTCTGTAGACCAGGCTGGCCTGGAGCCTTTATTTTTTAGGAGCCCACTGAAAGGGCAAGAAAAACTCAAAGAAGATACAATATATGAATATTGAAACAGCGAAAAACAGAGATCAACTGCTTGATAAAACAGTTCTGGACATAATCCTGTCAACAGCTCCCAGCAAAACACTTGTATTCTCAGGTTGCTACACAGTATCCCCAAAGTACAATAAGTCTCTGGGTAGAGGAAGAGAATCCCATCTACCATCATTGGACCCCATCATTCCAGACCTCAACTTCAGCATCTCCTTCAAAGCCCCCAGAATTTATGCAATGTGGCAGCTTCCACCACCCGACCATAAGCTAGATGTCCCATTCAGTTTCATTTCCAAACTCCTCTGAGGCCCTCCTTACAACCAAGACTACAAACCTGGACAGGCTTTTTCTTTTTGTCCTCTTCCTCCTCTTCATCACTGGATTCTTCGCTACTGCTGCTCTCTGAAGCTTTGGCTGCTGCCTTCCCAGCACGCTGAGGCACACTGGCTCGCTTGGCAGGTGCGGCTGAGTAGAAGGAAGTATAGGTACCCATGAGAATAGGCCCTCCAGGCAGGTGTCAGGCATTCTCTCTGGAATCCCGCCCCTCCCACCCCAACCACTCAACATGGCCTCACCAGCCTTCTGTGTGGGAGGTCCTTGGGCTTTGTCCTCTTCCTCACTGCTGTCCTCACTGCTGTCACTGGATGAAGTCTCTTTCTTAGCTTTCTTGGTTACTGGTCCATTTGTCTGTAATTTCACCTTTGGGGCTTTGGTGGACCTGCTGATGTAGATTAGGCTGACTTCTGAGGGATCGGAACCTTCTTAAACCAAGGAACACAGCCCAGCCCACCTAGTGGGAGCAAACAGCCCCAGTGCAACAAGGAACGCTTACTTGAGCCAGAAGCTATAGATGTCCAAGAGGGAAGAGGCATTGGCGTCCTGCTGTGTCTGTAAGAAAAGAAGTTTGGTTAAGGAAGTATTGTGCTTCTCTGGGTCACATCTCCTTGATCAAATGTAATTTGTCAACCAGGTATGGTCCCAGCACTTGGAAGACAGAAGCTGGCAGACCAGTGAGTTCAAGGCCCACCTGGACTATAAACAGAGTTCCAGGACTGCCAGGGTTATGTAAAGAGACCTTGTCTCAAAAGTTATGTTACCTACCTATTCAATTCGAAATGGATGTTACATCTTCTTAAGACTTTTCCTACTTGTATAAATTAGGAGAAAAACATTCCACTTACATATTGGCCAACTTTGAGCATGAAAACTTTATAGTATATCTATCCCTATGCCTTTCCATACTTTTCAAAGTCTTAGAAAGGATTCAGCAAGTTTTAATTGAGGGGCTGGAGAGATAGCTAAGTCGTTAGAACATGTTATTCTTCCAGAGGACCTGAGTTCATTTACCAGCACCCACATCAGGAGACTCAAAACTACCTGTTAACTCCAGATCCAAGGGGTTCTGAGACCTCTTACCTCATAATTCTAACTATTAACTTTTTTTGTAATTAATTGATTTTTAAAAGTCAGAAAGGCAGGGCTGGAGAGATGGCTCAGTGGTTAAGAGCACTGACTGCTCTTCCAGAGGTCCTGAGTTCAATTCCCAGCACCCACATGGCGGCTCTCTACAATCTGAACTCCAGAATTCAACACCCTCACACAGACATACACGCAGGCAAAAACACCAATGTGCAAAAAAGAATAAATAAATTATAAGCAAACAGAAGATAGCAGGTATGGTGGCACATGCCTTTAATTCTAGCATGTGGGAAGGAGAGACAAGCAGATCTGAGTTTAAGTCAGCTTGGTCTACACAGTGAGTTCCAGGACAGACATAACTACATATGGAAACCCTGTCTTAAGAAGGGAGAAAAGGGAGGGAGGGAAGAAGAGTTCAGGGCATTGGAAGATGGTCCATCAGTGAAGAGCACATGGGGCTAGGGGTGAGCATTTATTACCAGATCACATGCCAGGCTGTCCTGTCTGAAAGAACTCCCTTACTATGAGACTGATCTGATCCTTTCCTCTTGTAGCAAAAATCCCCTGATTCTGCTACAAAGAAGCAGTCTGCCTCAAAAAGTCTGGTGGCCTGTAACCCAAGATTCCCAGGATCTAATGCATGAGGATCATAAGGGCAAGGCCTGCCAACCAAGTTCCAAGTCAGGAACGGCCACAGAAACAAGGGGGGGTGGGGGGAGGGACAAAAAAGGTAGGTGTGGTGGTGCAGCCTTTAATACCAACACTGAAGAATCAGAGGCAGGGGCATCTCTGTGAGGCCTGTCTAGTCTGCATAGTGAGTTCCAGGCTAGCCAGGGTAACACAATGAGACATTCTCAAAAATAAAAATAAAGAAACCTAAATTTTCAGTCATGCTATCATCACTGTAAAGATCACATGTCTACAGTCTTTCAAGGTGTTTCCAAGAACACCACAGCTTTTCTTTAAAGATCTGTTTATTTACTTTATGTGAGTACACTGTCACTGTCTTCAGACACACCAGAAGAAGGCATCTGATCCCATTACAGATGGTTGTGAGCCACCATGTTTGCTGGGAATTGAACTCAGGACCTCTGGAAGAGCAGTCAGTGCTCTTAACCACTGAGCTATCTCCCTAACCCCCACTAGAGCTTTTCCTAAGATGCAGACTAAACATTTCACATTCCATCACTTTATTTTGCTCTTACATAACAGCTGCCACTCATCCCACGGTTCCTGTGTGCCTACAAAGGGATTACTGCTTTGTGTATTTTTCTCTTGGTGAATCTAAAGTCACTCAAAAGCTGTATATTGGGCTGAGCACTTGGTAGGCAGAGGGAGACAGAGCTGAGTTCAAGGCCAGTCTGGTCTACAAAGTGAGTTGCAGGGCAGCCAGGGCTACACACAGAGGAACTCTTTGTTTTGAAGGCCAAAACCAAGTTCTGTAAACTAGATGACATCCTGCAGTGCTCAGGCATGCATTAGCATGAGGATGCTGAGGCATGAGAACTGAAGTTCCATCCATCCTCAGTCTATATGAACTTTGTCTCAAACAAAAGGCTGCCGGGACCATGCATCTCGCAGAGGCTGGCCTAAGCCTACCTTTGTTTTATATCACTACCTGGAGCTCCAAGTTCAGTGTCAACTTGACATGGTAGGATGCTCATTCCTCCTACAGTATACTGAAAGCGACTTATCCCTGCACTCATTCATTTTCTTCTTTTGTAAAAATAAATAAGCAAATAATGAAATCATAGCTTTCGTTACTACACAATTGATCCCTGCACTCACTCATTTTCTTTTAAGTGTATAAGCAAATAGAATCCTAGCCTTCATTACTAACAGGTAAAACTGCAACCAAGTGTAAGTCCAACAAAAAGTACAGAAGAACCAGGCACCGCCAACCCAATGCTCCCGGAGGGATCTATCGCCACATGTCCTGGATCACGAGGGACCCACGCCTGCCACCGCTGCAAAACTCACCAAGTAAAAACGGGAAGACTCGGAGCTACCTAGTCAGACATGCTGGACGGAGATACCGAGACCTCAAGCCTTAGGAAGATCGGCAGAGAGGCTTCGCAGACATTGGACTGACAGACCCCAGACCTCGCCTCCTTGACTTCTAAACCTGCCAAGGCCTAGATTATCGCCCCACCCCGGCCCGCAGACCAAACCAAGGACTCACAGCGCCTGTCGCTTTTGCAAATTTACTGGCCACCTCCGAGAGTTGGTTATCTCGCAGAAAGCCGAGCACAAGGGGATAAAGGTCGCTGGGAACCACGCGGCGCAAGCCGGTATCCGCCATACTCCGAGTAAAACGCGTCACTACCGTTGCGCACGCGGCACGACTTATGAACTCCAGAGCACGACCAGAGTAGAGGGCGGGACCAGTGTCGTCATCACGTCGCGCGGCGTACGGCGGAAGAGTGGCCCCCACGAGGCAGCGGTCCCTCCACTCTAGAGGCAAGATCCAGGCGAAATCTCTAAGTTCCTTCCGGTCTCACACGCGTCGTCATCCTATAAAGGACAGAGCCCACGTACCGCCCACTAAGGAGGCGGAGCTTCTACGTCAGAGGTCACGCTCCCGTCCGAGGCGGGAAAACTTGCAACTTCCCGCGCATTACCTTTGCTGAATGGACTTTTTACTACTGTAGTTTTCCAAGCCCCGTCTGCTACTCAGACCCCACAATAATGAATGGACTGGAGAACTCGAGTCTCTTTCTCCTTTCTACAGGTGTCACCTACTGCTCAAATTCCCACCGATAATGGTTTCCTCCCATCCTAAAGTGAGGTTCTTCAGGATACCACCAGACTCAAATCTGAGGATCTTAAAAGTTGTGACAAGGGTGTTAGTACCCCAAATTGCCTGTCAGCCATAACTAGGTTACAAGACAGTTATCCCTCCCATACACAATTCGAACAGAGGGACCATCCTGGGGAAAAGATCAAATGACTCAATCTTTTCTTCCTTAAGTCAGAAGTCACACTGAATTCTGAAAACTCCAGTATCAGCTGTTGTTCAGGTCAGGAAGCAATAAAGATGCACTTTCTGTGCACACCTTTTACTTTCCGCAGGCGCTTCTTCTAAAAAGAACTGTTGCCGGGCAGTGGTGGCACACGCCTTTAATCCCAGCACTTGGGAGGCAGAGGCAGGAGGATTTCTGAGTTCAAGGCCAGCCTGGTCTACACAGTGAGTTCCAGGACAGCCAGGGCTACACAGAGAAACCCTGTCTCAAAAAAACAAACTGTTATCCTATTTCCCAGAGGTGCTTTTATCCATACCTATTCACTTCTAAAGGACCGTGATCAAACTAAACTTGTGAGCTTAAACACTTAACAGACACAAACCCCAGTTAAGAAAACTTTTATTATCATAGGCTCGGTGGCAAATGCCTTTAAACCCAGGGTTGAGAGGCAAACACAGGTAGATCTGTAAAGGGAGGGAGAAGGGAAGAGGGAGAGAGAAAGGGAAGTAGGAGGGGTTCTTTTGAGTGGTGGCACACTTTTAATCGGTACACTTGGGAGGCAGAAGTAGGTGATCTCTTGAGTTCCAGGACAGTCAGGGCTACACAGAAAAACCCTGGCTTGAAAAAAACAAAAAAGCGCCGGGCGATGGTGGTGCACGCCTTTAATCCCAGCACTTGGGAGGCAGAGGCAGGCGGATTTATGAGTTCGAGAGTTCGAGGCTAGCCTGGTCTACAAAGTGAGTTCCAGGACAGCCAGGGCTACACAGAGAAACTCTGTCTCGAAAAACCAGACCAAAAAAAGAAAAAAAAGAAAAAACAAAAAAAGCAAAAACAAATAACTGTGTCTCCTCCATCCCACAAGAGTCTGTATTGTAAAAATATCTCCATGCACAAGCCTAGTAGCTCTAGTCTGCCCTAGATAGCAAGTTCTAGAACACTATACAGCAAGAGCCTGTCTCAAATACTCAGCTGAGGTATGGTGGCTCACACCTTTAATCCCAGTACCCAGGAAGCAGAGGCAGGAGGATCTTTTGAGTTTGAGGCCAGCCTGGTCTACAAAGCCAGTTCCAGGACAGCCAGGGATTCTTGACTCACAAAAACACAAAGGAGAGGAGCAAGATACCTGACACAAATCTCCAGCACGCATATATAGGGGTCACACCTCCACACATGATAGACGAGTGTGTGTGTATGCATACAATTATCCTTCCACCCCAAAAAGGTGGCTGTGTTAGCTCAATAATACCCTGGATTCAAACCCCACCCAGTACTGCAAATGTAAAAAAGTACTAGGGGGTGATTTAGTGCCTGAAACCCTTGTCTAATGATAAGGGACTGAGTGAGTCTCCAGAACCTACATGAAAAAGCAATCTGTCAGATGTGGTCCCTATGAAATCCTAACGCTGGGCAGGTGGACAATGGCTTCCTAGGGGCTCAATGGCCAAGCCAGTGAGCTTCAAGATTGGGAGGTCAGCACTCCTGAGAGTGGGACTAAGAAAGTGTCCTACTGCCTGTACACACATATGCTCCCTCCCACACACGAAACAGGCTGGGGACAGGACTGGTAGAGTGCTTGCTAACATACACAAAGTTCTGGGTTCAATGCCCAGCACCATATAAACCAGCTATAGTGACCATGTATGCTGTACTCCTAGCACTTGGGGGTGGGGTGGGGTGGAGCTCAAGGTCATCTTTAGTTATACAGGGAACTAGAGGACAGGCTAGAATACAGGAGACTGACAAAATATAAATATCTCATGTCAAGTTTGAGAAGTTTTTCCTGACTTATTTCACGTGTGATAGATGTGGGAAGCCAAGTTAAGTCAATGTGACCATACACCTAACCAGAAGAGGGGTGGGTCCTAGGAACTCAGTGAAGGCCTTGATTGTGTTCTGAGAATACCAAGTACACCAGACATTAGCACACAGAAAGGACACTCTGGAGTTCCCTCTAGTTCATGTTTATTAGATGTTCCCCTCAGACCCACCTTACATAGAAATCCAAGTTAATTTGTTCAATACCTGTTATTAAAAACCAAATACCACTTAAAAATCCCGATTTAACATTTTTATTTAACGTTTTCTCCGTTTCCTTATAAAACAGTCATTTTCCACACTAGCAGCTCTCTCCCCGAGAGTGGGGGAGGGGGTGGAAGAGGTTGGACACCTCCAGAGGAAATGGGTGGGGGAGGAATGCCCAGGGTTACCTCCGTAGGTTCTTCTGGGCCTGTTTCAACAATGTATCAAAGTCAAGAGAATCAAACTTGCTCTTTACAGGAGCAGGATCAAAGTCTTCCCGATTGGAGTCTACAAAAGCAGAGAGGGACAAACAAAGGTCTCTTACCACACGCATCTCAAATGGGAGCCAGGGCCCATCCAAGAAGCCTATGGAGGCAAACTGCCTGCTTGTGAAGAATGTGGGAGGGCCCTCCCACTCACCCACCCTTTCAGTTCTCTGTATGTCCAATCCAAATCTAGCCTTCCTCTCTAATGTTGTCAAGAAGCCCTTCTCCATCACTCACCAAGATCAGAGTAACTCCTCTTGCAGAACTGCCTTCGGCCCCCAAAGCAGAGATCAAAGGGCTGTTCGTCTGCCTGACGCAACTTGTGGCCACTCTCAATGGCTGCAAATGCCTCTTCAGCATAACGGTAAGTGACGAAACCATAGTTGTCACTAGTGGAAAGGGTCAGCCATTTGGACACATGTCATGGAGAAGATTCAGCACCCAGGATATAGAGGTGTTTCTTCTCATTTCCCCAATGGCTAACCCTCTGATTATAAAAACGAAGGGGATCCCACCCAGCCCAGCACAGTAGAAGACAGAGAAGACAGAAACATCAATGTGTAAGGATTTAGCTACAGTTACAGATGGTTATCGGTGGTAGATGTGGGTGTTGGGAACCAAACTCTGGCCCTTTGCAAGAGCAGAACAAGCTCTTAACCCCTGAGTCATGTCTGCTGTCTCCCAGCGGACAAGCTTTCTCCTAATCATCCACAGGTCACTGGTGTGTAGAGCCGCCTATCAAAACAGGGGACCAGGCCGGGCGGTGGTGTCGCACGCCTTTAGTCCCAGCACTTGGGAGGTAGAGGCAGGCGGATTTCTGAGTTCAAAGCCAGCCTGGTCTACAGAGTGAGTTCCAGGACAGGCCAGGCTACACAGAGAAACCCTGTCTCGAAAAACCAAAAAATAAAATAAAAAAAAATAAAAGAATTTAACATTTTAAGTCTTACCCTTGGACACGAAAATGAATGGTACACTCCTCAATCTCTCCAAAAACAGAAAACCTCTGTTTCAGCTCTGACCGAGTCATTCGGCCAGGTATTTTCCCAATGAAGACAACCCTTCTCTCTTCCTATATTGGATAAAGGAAAAGTGACACTCTATGAGTCAGAGCTGCAGTTGTTGATGACTCTGGGCTCGTGGCACAGGGTGAGCTCTTCCCTCCACCTGCTGCCCTACTCACTATTGCACGCTCCTTCTGCAGCACTCTCTGCCTTTGGTAATGGTCATTCGAACGGTAAGAGCTGTACCTGGCAAGAGAGGTACCATCAGCCCCCCAGATACAAGTCAAGACTCAGAACCCTCAGGCACCTGCCCTCAAACACATATTCATGCTCACCGCCGCCTCCGGTCACTTCTCCTGCAAGGGGACACAGAGGGAGACCGGCTTCTGGAACTGGATGAGGAGGAGGAGGAAGATGAAGAGGAGGAGGAAGAGGACGAACACCTTCTGGACCGTCCAGAAGAACTGCAGCTGGACCTGTAATAAAGGGCACTGGAATGATGGGAACGGGACAGGTATATTCCACTACCTCAGCCAGGTCAGACTCGCCTCTCTGTCAGGACGCTCAGGACCATAAATATATGGAAGAGGAAGAGTTTCAGAAAGTTTTCATTGCAGGTAACAAGTAGGAAAGCCTTCATAACACTTTAGATACGTCAAGCACATTTCCAGTTTTACTTATCGTTTTTATCCTTTTCCCTGAGATGATGGGCTTACTACACAGCCCAAGCCGGTTTTCAATTTGAGATTCTCTTGTCTCACCCTGCCAGCACTGGGACTGTGCTACCGTGCCTAGCACGCATAGTTCGTTTTCTTGATGAAGATTATACCAGGGCCTTCTGCATCCTTGATACACCTCTATTACTACTAAGCTTTTTAATTACTGCATATTTTCCACCATGCCATTGAAAATGGAAAACTAACAAATGAGAAAGAGGAAGGACCTTCAGGGAGACTTGGGAGATGGAGGGCTAACTCTAGTTTTGACAGCTACTCTACAGTGCTGGGGCAAGGTACCAGAATCTTGAGTTCTAACTGTTCTCTTGATAGATCTCAAAGGAATACTGTAACCAAGGCGAGAGGGAGGCTACCCATGTCAGAACTACTGTTCACAGACATCTCTGAAGACAGGTATCAGTGCTAAAACACCAGTTTTGTTCATTTTTTTTTTTTTGAGACATTGTCTCAAATACCCCAGACTGTCCCAAACTCTGTATGTAGCCAAGGATAATTTAACCTCTGACCCTTCTGCCTCCATCTTCTCAGTGCTAGGATTACAGGCATGTAACATGTCTAGTTTACGAGGTGCTGGGAATCAAGTCCATGCTTTCATGCATTCGAGGCGGCAGTCTACTAACTGATCTACAACTGCAGCACTACCCACAAGGAATCTCCCCTTTTTACAATTATCATGTGTGTATGTGTGTGGCAAAACATGCATACAGAGGTGAGAGGAGAACTGTTTGTTTCATTCCACCATATAGTTCCAGGTTCACACTAAGGTCACTGAGCCTAGCAGCCATCTCACCAGCATGTCAGATTAACCCACCATCCTGCATTAATACCAAAAAAATACCAAACACCACGTATGAGCACCAAATGTAATAACATGAAATAACCCCAATTATACCACCTGCTATCTACCCAAGGAACAGCTCAAGTAAACAGACTCCAACAATCCACGAAAAGGAAGAAGAAAGCCATAGTGACTGAAAGTACATTAGTTAGCCCATGACCTGTTCAAAGTAACCCACAAGAGTGCAGGAACTTCCCAAGGTCAGACTCTAACAGGCCATCAAAGCTCACCTTCGCCACCTCTTGTTGGGGGGGGAGAGGGACCGGGACCGGGACCGGGATGAGGAAGACACCGATGAGGACGAGGATGCTTCACTGCTCCGGCTGGACCCAGAGCTGACAGAACGGCTGCTGCGGCCACGGCGGCCTTGCCAGCCCCGACTTGGGGGGCTGACTGATCTGCAGGCTTTTCGGTAACAGCGCATTGACCGCTGCTTGTCTGGGGGCTCAGAGGGAGTCCTAGCGTTCATGTCATTCCGGCAGGGTGAGGCCTCAGGAGACAGCAAGGTGGATGGGGCAAAACAAGGCGCTGGAGGATCTGCCTGCTCAGTGCTAGTCCTGTGATCAAGTGGCTCCTGGGAAGTAGTTGTGCATGGGAGTAGGGGAGTAGCTGAGCCCAATGACAAGACAGGTTTGATGGTGATGTCCTGATGGCGCTTGACATTCCATCGGGAGCCCACCTCTGAAATGACTAGAGCAGGCATCTTTTTGGGGGGTGTCCTGCTTCGGACACAATAGTCATGGTCTCCAGAGCCCACATGGACTGGACTAGGGCCATGGACCCCTTCTCGGAGGCAGGCTGCAGCTGGAGGTTTGGCCTCTGTAATTCCTTCAGGCTTCAGGGTTCCCTCTTGGGCGGTAGATTTAGGAGATTTGGCTTTGGCCAACAGTGAGACAGCAGCCAGGGGTTTCCATAACTGGTGGGGAGGGGTGGCTGGAGGGGTGAGCCCTGTGGGGGGAGGGAGGATGGAGATAGCAGGGTGAGATCCAGTTTCACACTCCAAATTCTGTGTCTCTAGGCTCCAGATCCTACTTCTCACAGAGTGTACTAACATCACCGTCAGCCCAGCCTCTCTCACTGCTTTAATAAACGAGATGCACACCTAAGGCCAGCCACAACTACCTAGACCTTACCTAGACCTGCCTAGTGACCAGGTCCTACCTAATTTAGAATCATTTTCAAGCTTACGTGAACTCCTCCACCTAGCCTTACCTAATTTCTAGGTTGCACCTTACCTAGACTCATACCATAAACTTACCTACTTCCCTCAGGCTCCATACCTGTCTGCTTCCTAGATTCCTGCTAGACAAACCGTCCAAAATAATCAACATGAGAATGCTTTCAATTGTTTCTCCAATACATGTACAGGATGAAGTTCAAGCAGCTGACTGTGTGGCATTCACAGTTACCCGGAGCTGACCTCTAGCCTTGACTCTTGCTCGATTTCTGTCCGTTACCTTAAATCAGCCTCTACTCTCCCGGATCAAACCAAACCACTCACAGAGCTGCAAATAACAAACTAGTTGCTTCTGCAATTCAGTCAGGCAGTTCCATTTATCCTCTGAAAGCTACCATCTGACTGACAGCGGTGATTGTTCTCAAGCCTCGGCTTAGGGCAACATTCTATATAATCCTCCCCTTACTGCCCCTCACTTCCGACTGACATCGACATCTGCCCCCCTGACCATTAACACAACAATGGAGACCAGATGTCTGTACCCAATGCCGATACACCCTTGGTGCACAGCACAGCAATACTGCACTCGTGCTGCACAGACTAAGCCGGAGTACAACCTGAACCCACCTGCCACGTTGGCCAGTTCTGGGGCTTGTAACCGGTCTAGGGGTTTCTTCTCCTGGGGAGTGTCAATGCTGCTGGCAGGGGGGAAAAGGGAAAGCCTGGTTCATTGCCTCAATATCTTGTACATGCTTTCCTCAAAAAGCAATGAAAAGTGTATGTAGAAGAAAAAAAAAAAAAAAGACGCCCAACATGGCCCCAGTCTTATAACACAGAAGCGCTTTAGTGACCAAGGTGTAGATGGGGCTTCCTCAATTCTGCCAAATTTCAGGAGGCAGGCTGACTAGGTAGAATCTTCAATGAAATGACTGCACAGCCCCCCACCCCTCCTTCAGTAAGGAACCTTGCCTATCAAGCTCAAATGTAACTGAACCCAGTATGAAGGACACGCTCAGCAGATCAGGACTGTGAAAAAGGAGGCTTCTCATTGTTAGAATGCTGCAAAGTAAAGGGGTTTGGGTGCCCGCACCCTCCAAGGAGTTAGGGGAAGGCCCAGCTATTTCCCCTACCCCATCATCAGCACTGAACAAGCTTGAAGTCTGATAATGGAAAAGAAAAAATCCCAAAGAAAAATTTGCCAAAAATTAAGGGGTACCTCCAAGGCACTTGGAATTCCTGAAAGTACATACCCTCCCCGACTCGTCACCCATGACAAGGTCTGGTGGTAACAGAGAAGGGGGCAAACAATTGGGGAAAACACTAGAAGTCGGCTGGCTGCTGACCAACAGCTGTAGGGTAACTCGCACTTATCTCCATACTTACCCTGAGTTTCCTACAGCCAAACTGTCAGCAGGAGCCGGGAGAGGACACTCCTTTTTGGCTGTAAAGAAATCATATTAGTTAAAAGCCCAACCAGATGTTCCAAACCAAAGTGGCATAGAAGTACATCCTGATATCCAGAGAAGAAATAAGCCAGCTTTGCCTCCCCCACTGAGCCCAGATCCAGTCTCCTCCAGTGCTATCTAGTCAATGAGATTTAATTATTTCTTTTCTGCTCAGAAATACCCACTCCCAACTGAATGTGAGACAGAGTCCAAATTGATGGACCAAACTAATTTCCTAGCCATAAATTGAAATAGGGTCTCAGTAAGCAGCCCAGCAGACCTGGGACTCACCATATAAACCAGGATGGTCTTGTACTCAAAGATCTGTTTCCCAGTGATGTGATTAAAGGTACACACCATACTTGACCTTAGACTTATTTAGCAACTGAGTCCAGGACCATGGCACCAGGACCAGGATAAGCACTGCTTCTCACATGGAACTACATTTCTAATACACAGCCTTCCTGTCTCACTCTTCTGTACTCTACCATGTACTGCAGATACCTGTTACCAACTCAAGTGTCACCTGTGCAGATTCTTTGCCCCACTGACACAATAAATTTCTCTAGAAGAGAATATAGTAACCTCCACAGCACCTAGCACCATGCTTTGTCTTGAAGTCATGCTCCTCATTGTCTTTTAAATGAACATCCGCCCGAGACAGGGCTTTTCTCTCTGTCCTGAAACTCTGTAGACCAGGCTGGCCTGGAACTCAAGAGATCCACCTGCTTCTGCCTCCTGAGAGCTGAGGTTAAAAACGTGCCACAATACCTGGCTCCAAATGCATCTTTTTTTTTTTTCAAAGACATTTATTTTATGCATATGAGTGCTCTATCTGCATGTACACTTGCACGAAAGAGGACATCAAAAGTCACTTAGACAGTTGTGAGCCATCACGTGGTTGTGGGAATTGAACTCAGGACCTCTGGAAGAGCGGCTGGAGCCCTTAACTGCTAAGCCCTCCAAACGCATCTTACAGGAGCCCATCCAATGTGTCTTTTTTCTGCCTTATATGCTACGTGTATCATATGAAATCCCACCTCTCAAAAGCTCAACTGAAGAGTTGCCTCCCTGTAGAGAAAGTCCCCATCCCATCCTATCCCAAGCTCCCTGCATCTTCTCCTTATCTACTCTTTTAATGACTAATGTTATACACCACGTCCCTGGTATAGACTACTCTCCCAGGTGATATGCTGTGCCAGTTAAGTGGCTCTTCTGATGGTGGAGACTGCCCTCTACCCTCTACCCCAGTTCAAGCGACTATAAAGCTAAACCCAAAGTAAGCACAGACAAAAATAAGAGTTGGAACAAACTACCTAAGTTTCCTCACCTTCTGATTTCTCAAACTGCTCCAATAGACTGGACAGGTCTGATGCTTCAATCCCTGTGAGAGAACACAACACAGGATTGAAATCTAGCCCTCACCGACAGAGTCCACAGGCCCCGAGCGCATCTCCCTTTACATGACTCCCAGTGCAGCAAAGCGAGTGAACCAAGGGAGCAGCACATAGCAAGAGCGAGTAAAACTAGAGGTACATATCTCAAAGACACTCCCAGAGAAATCCAACAAAGGGCAGCCTCATGGAAGTTACTCCTTCCAGACAACCCCTGCACCCTTCTTGTACTGAGCACACTGTCTGTCACTCACCAATCTCACTGATGAATGCCTGTACCACATCCTCAGGACCCTGAGTGCGTGGAGTAGGCAGGAAGGACAGCTTCCTTAGACGGGCTGGATGGACAGCAGGCAGCTTTGCAACAGTGCTCTGCTTTGGTATGGGAACAGCCTTGATAGCCGTAGAGACGGGTTTCTCCCTTGGTCTGTTCTCCTGGGTCTCAGGCTTTAGCCTCTCTGATACAGACTCCCCAGTAACTATACCCTCAGCAGACAGAGTTGGTGGAGCCTTGATCTGGGGACTCTGTACCAAGGTGGACACTTTGTGTTTCGGTTGGGGAGATACAGGCACTGGCTGAGCCTCCAGCTTTGTAGGTTCTACTGGTGGAGCTTTGGGGCTGGCTGGCCCAGAACTTAGGGAAGGAGTCACTGGCACAGGAAGCATATCTTCAGGAGGACCAGCTGGATTACTACTGGGTTCTACATTGGATGGAGTAACAGCTCTTCCAGTAGAGACTGAAGACAACGGAGATGGAGAAACAGTAGACCAAAAGGGAGGCTGTTGCAGCCCTGGACCCCACCCAAGGGATCCATAGGCACAGCTGGAGCTGTAAGGTGAAACTGGTGCAGGAGGGGGTACCCAAGGCACATTGCAAGTTGGGGGTACAGCATAGGTACCAGGAGTACCAGACACTATGGGCATCGTTGGTGGTGGGGGCAGACAAGAATAGCCAGAAGGGGACACAGAGGGGTAACAAGGCCAGGGTGGCACAGGGGCATACTGAGTATAGGGGTCAGGTGGCATTTGTCTCATTGATACTGGAAGTCCAGGAGGTTGCAAGGGAGGCGGGGGCAGGTTGGGGACTCCGTGACCACTTGAAGGAAGCAGAGGAGGTATGCTCGGAGGGAAAGGCAAAGGAGTGGGCACTGTAGAAGGGACGGGCCCAGCAGGAGCCACAGACTGCAAAGTAGGAGGGAGTGCTCTAACTGGAAGCGGCATCTCATGAGATAACACCTGTTCAGAGTGAGTTGAAACCATAAGTTTGCTTGCAGATGGTTCAGGAGTAGGAGAAGCAGGGTTAGAACCCCCAGACACAAAACAAGTCTCTGGTACAGCTACAGGGCTTCTCTGTGGAGCTGTCTTCTTGGCTGGGGCTGATGGAACGAGACAAGGGATATCTGCCAGCCCTTTGGGTGTCTCTGGGAGGCTAGGCCACTTGCCAGCTGGGGGCTGAGAATTCCTGTCTTCTGCTTCTGTTTGCCGTTGCTGCCTTCGCTGACGGTACTCAGATAGGCTGAGAGGCCGAGGTCTGGCTTCCTGGGTTGTAGCACTGGTACTACCTTCCACCTTCAGAGGACCTACACCATCCTTGACTTCAGGAGTGATGACCTTAGGATGGTCTGTGGACCCTAGGGAAGGACGATTCCCCTGAGCAGCAGCTGCTGCCGCCACTGCTGCCGCACGTCTAGGATCAGTTGGTCTGCACTTAACTAGCACAGGATCTACTGGAGCCAGGTCATTTGGAACAGTGTCAACTGCCACTGTGTTAGCTAGGATAGCATCAGCTGGAGACAAGTTACCTGAAGTGGGAACAGCCACTGCAGGTTCAATTCCTGTCCTGTCAGGCATGACTGGGCTAGTCAGCATTGGGCCTACTGGGAGAGGACCAACCAGCTCAGTACTAGATGAAGCCTGGTCAACAGGTACGGCATTGCCGACTGTAGGCGGATCATCTTCAGCAGAGTCAAGCGGCATGGAGTCAGCTTGAGCAGAGTCATTTAATGAAAGAGAGGGGATGGCTTGGCTAGTCTCAGCCAGCTTAGGACAGAGATCTAGAGCATCTTCTTCAGCAGGACTTTCCTGTCCTGCACTTGTCTCTAAGTTCTCAGACCCAGTCTTCTCCAAGGCAGCTGCCCATGCCCGAGCCCAAGCACGCGGCTTCCCTCTGCTCTGAGGGACCGCAGCCTCTCTCTGAAGCTCTTCCTGAGGCTGTTTCTGTAAGCTGCCAGCCTGAGAGTTCACCTCTGTAGCCACAGTAGACTGTCCACGGGAAGATGACCTCAGCCTCCTGGTATAGCCTTCCAAACAGGCTGTTGGCTGCTCCTTGTTCTTCTTCTTCTTCCTGCCCTTTCTGGGAACTTTCTGAGAACCCTGACTTGCATTGGCAGATAGATTCTGAGGCTCCTTGGGTGCCAATGTCTCCATGATTTCCCTGGGCTCCAATAAGCAGGCAGAATTCAGTGATAACTCTTGATCAGGGCAAGCAGCAACTTTAGGCACAGCAGCTTCTGTCCCAGACTCCATGGTGGGCATGAGTAGCTGCAAGGCAGAATTGGTCCCTAGAGACTCATCCAGGAGCACAGACTGAGATCCAGAAGGAATCTGCCGCACCACGACTGGGATCTCCAGGTCATCACCAGCTGTAGCTGCCTGGCCCACAATCTCCAGCACCACACAACCCTCAGGCAGTGTCAAATCATCAGCCTGTTCCTGAAGCTCATCCTCAAGTGAGGCCAGGTGAGTGAGGTTGGGCAAGCAATACGGATGCATGGCCCGCACCAGCTCACTCAAAGAGGAGATGCTCTCGTCACCAGGGGCTGACACTGCCACATTTGCTGCTGACGACATGTCTTCTTCCTCAGGGCATGCCAGGTGCATGGGGAAGTCCAAATTGTTCACCGAGTTGTCCAATTCACCATCAAGCATCTGACCACTGAAGCCAGCAACCTCCTCCTCCTCTTCTCCATCACTGCGCTGCTGGGGAGGAGGGGACTGACCCCATCGAGTTCTTGGTTTTGAGGGTCTCCAGCTAGGCAGCTTAGGGGAAGAAGTTTCCAAGAAGGGAGGTGGAGAGAAGTCCCATGGAGACTCTGCAAGGGACATCTCAACCTACAGGAGAAGAACAGACTCAGGAGGCATTCCTCAGCACAGGCTTTCCAGATGGTGCCTCTGCATGTCCTCCCCTTCTGTGTGCTCAAGAAGGTCCCAGGTCAGACTTACCCCACCTGTGCTGGGCCCCAAAGGGTCAATTGGGGTGATGAGGTCACGTTCTGGGGGTGTCCGAGAGAGATTGAGCAATTTGTGCAGCTAAGAGGAAGGAAGCCCCCAATCAGTTTGTGCAGAGCTGTATGAACAGGCTCCCAGATGTGGGTGGAACCATTGGACTAACCTGTGTCCCTCCCTGATCCCATACTCACAGAGGAGCTCTCCCGAGGAGACACAAGCAGCTCTGAATCAGGAATGGTATCAAATGGGGACAGGTTCTCAGAATCGGCATTGTCCAAGATCTCAGTCAGAGCTGTGAGCAGTGACATCTCATTCTGGTCCTCCAAAGATAACCTGCTCTGCTCCAGAAAGACAAGAGGACCCCCACAAGATCTCTAATAACCTACTAGCCATAAAAAGAACTAAATGCCCAGACTCACTTAGCTTAGTTTGCCAGCAAGAGGGATCTATGTAAGAGGAAGCGTTGGCTCCAATCTCTTACTGTTCACCCAACAGCCCTAACAGAGCAGGGTTAGATCGACATTCGCGAGACAGAAGATGCTCAGGAAGCCATCCTGGGCTAGACTGGAATTAGGCTAAGAAGTGTCCATGAACCTCCTAGATATATGTAGGTCAAAGATAAGCTTTGGACCACAGTCCAAGCTGAAGGCATCCTTCATGGGCTGTACTCTGACAGTCTGCAGTCTAACATCATTTAAAAAATAATAACAAAAAAAAAATCTTTCAAGGGGCTGGGCGGTGGTGGGACACGCCTTTAATCCCAGCACTTGGGAGGCAGAGACAGGCGGATTTCTGAGTTCAAGGCCAGCCTGGTCTACAGAATGAACTCCAGGACAGCCAGGACTACACAGAGAAACCCTGTCTCGAAAAAAAAAAAAACAAAACAAAAACAAAAAACCTTTCAAGGGCTCAGGTTGGGCATCCAATAGTCCAAGGATCTGAGAGAACAATGCCATCTCTGAAACGACTCCAAAGACGACAAACCTCCCCATGCAAAGATCCTGTCTGAAGCACTCCAAGCCCTACCCCAGCTTACCTCTCCAAAATCCTCAATGAGGGAGATAATGGAGGCATCCATGTAGCTCTGCATGGTCTCCAGGAGTGTCTCATCCTGCAGGATCAGTTCCTCCATTTCCAGGTCTTTCTCCCTCAGAGATGGGCCCAGTCGAGAAAGACTCACAAAACTAGCGTCATCCCCCTCCTCATGGACCTAGGGCAAAAGGGTCAATCAGACCTCCCAAGTGCTGGGATTAAAGACATAGCATACACTTGTAACATAGATGCTGGAAAACTAAAACAGAAGGATTCTATGCAAGTTTGAGGCCAGACTGGCCTACTTAAGAAAAGGCTGTCAGAGGGGAAATCAATGTTAAGAAGCCATCTGCCGCTGGGTGGTGGTGGTGCATGCCTAAGTTGTGCCCTGTCCGCACACTCAGAGATCCACAGGGCCTCAACCCCTACCATACAAACAATAGAAGAACGCTTTAACCCTTTACTCCCAACAAAAGTGGTGGCACGTGCCTTAATCCTAGCATTTGGGTGGCAGGAACAAGCAGATCCGAGTTCAAGGCCAGCTTGGTTAATATGACAAGTGCCAGACCAGTCAAGACTACATAGAGACTCTATCACAAAACAAATAAAAGTGCAAGAAACTATTAGGTTTTTGGTTTTTCGAGACAGGGTTTCTCTGTGTAGACATTTTTTTCTTCTCTGAAAAGACATTTTTTGTTTTTGTTTTGTTTTTTTCTTGAGACAGGGTTTCTCTGTGTAGCCCTGGCTGTCCTGGAACTCACTCTGTAGACCAGGCTGGCCTCGAACTCAGAAATCCACCTGCCTCTGCCTCCCAAGTGCTGGGATTAAAGGCGTGCGCCACCACTGCCTGGCGAAACTATTAGTTTTTAAAAGAGGAAAATAGATTCCCAATTCCTTTGGGACAAATAATAAGATTGTGTTCACTTATATCCTCCTGGGCATCACAGAGGAAGTTGTATGTGCCTATACTCCATCGTCACCCATTATTCCTTACCATGTCTTATGTCCAACTAATATTCATACTCCCTTTTCTTCTTTCTTTGGTGCTGGAGACTAAATCCACTCTAAGGACTCTAAACTGAGCTATACCTCTAGACCCAATGGTGAGTCACAATGTGTTAATGGTAGTTCTAGGGAAAGAATTTCTTCCCCAACCCCACCAAATGGGAGGGAGCTGAGGAGAAACCTTGACTGCAAAGATGGAGAGGCCCCGCCTCACACCCTTCTGTGTACTAGCAGTGTAGTCAGCTTTCTCATGAGGTAGGATCCGCCCAAACCTGTCAAGTGTCATAGGCAGGGCATGGGCAAGGCCCAAAATGGAACTGGTGAGGCCAGAGCCTCAGCTAAGCACATCTGCTCTTGGAAGCATAGTATAAGGACCTGAGAACAGACTCAAACAGCCTGACACCCTCCTGCGGCAAAGGGAAATGGAGCACTTCAATTCCTCCAAAAGAAACAGCCAACAGGTGTGACCTGATGCTTCCAGGAACCCGATCCTTTTAAAAGGTTGAGCTGGGACGGGCGGTGGTGGTACACGCCTTTAATCCCAGCACTTGGGAGGCAGAGGCAGGTGGATTTCTGAGTTCAAGGCCAGCCTGGTCTACAAAGTGAGTTCCAGGACAGCCAGGGCTACACAGAGAAACCCTGTCTCGAAAAAACCAAAAAAAAAAAAAAGGTGGAGCTGGAAAAGAACTGGCTGGTTTAGGGACACTTTAGTGTCTAGGCCCAGAGCTAAAGTGAGAAGGCAGCAGGTTTTAGGGACTAACCCCTCCCACCTAGGTCTTCACAATCCTGTAATTACAACCAGAAGCTGAATATCGCATGGCTCAGCAAACAGTCATCTGTGAGCAAGTGGCCTGTACCTCTAGTTGCCCTGCATCCTTCCACAGCCCAGCCACTGGGTCAGACAGGTCCAGCTCCATAAACCATTGATCTCCTCCCGGCAGGTGCTGGAGGCCAAGATAGAGACATCTACCCCCCTTTACATGGCTTCACCCACACACTTCACAATCCCCAGGTACAATCGTTCCCAGGGGAAAAGGATCAGCCAAAGGCTAAGGCCAAGCCAAAAGTGAACTCACCACTAGCATTAACCAAAAACCTCTTGGTTGGCTTTCTCACACCAGTTTTGCTCATCCAGAATTTAAAGGCAACTTTGTGTTTTTGACACAAAGTCTCATGTAGCACTGGCTGCTCTTGTGCTTCTATGTAACCAAGGTTACTGTTAAACTCTTGATTCTCCTACCTCTAAGCCCAGCACAGAGACTTTTTTGTGTGTGTGTGTTTTTCGAGACAGGGTTTCTCTGTGCAGTCCTGGCTGTCCTGGAACTCACTCTGTAGACCAGGCTGGCCTCAAACTCAGAAATCCATCTGCCTCTGCCTCCCAAGTGCTGGGATTAAAGGCGTGCGCCACCACTGCCCGGTTGACTTTTTTTTTTTTAATATTTCTATATACTTCAAAACATACAGCTATTTGAGCCAGGAGCAACAACAACAGAATAGACGACTTGTTATTTCCTAGGACCATGATAAATCCCTTCAAAAGACACAGCATTGCCTTCTTTGATCCCACCACTCAGGAGGCAGAGACAGGAGGCTCTCTGAGTTTGAGATGACAGCCAAGACTATAGACAAAGAAACAAAAAACTTCCTTCAACGGCATCTTCCTGCCCTTAGCATGGGGTTTAAACTCCTTAGGACCGCTTGTGTTCTGCGCTTCCTGCTAGCCTCTTCAGCTTGTCCTCTCCAATCCCACCCTTTTGCTGGGCTGGCCATTTTTCCCATATGCCATGCCTTTGATCTTCACATCCTATTCCCTCTGATAAAAGTTTCTCACAGTCTTAAGAGTCTCAATTAAAAGCCAGGCAGTGGTGGCACACACCTTTAATCCCAGTACTTGGGAGGCAGAGGCAGGTGGATTTCTGAGTTCAAGGCTAGCCTTGTCTACAGAGTGAGTTCCAGGACAGCCAGGGCTACACAGAGAAACCCTGTCTCAAGAAAAAAAACAAAACAAAATAAAAACAACAACAAAAAAAATGTCTCCTCCATTTGTAGACTTCAAATTAGATTTCTGATGACTACGGAATCCCAACTAGCCTGCACTTTCCTCGGTCTCACCCACCACTATTTATTATGTCTATCTTGAGTTAAACTAGGACACTGTGGGGATCACACCTGTGTGGTTTAGCAACACATCTGTACTTAAACATATGATGCCTTGATAACCACTGGGTTGACTGTGTAACTGCTATTATTGCTGGATCTTAGACCCCTACCGTCTCTCTAAGAGAGTGATGGTTAATAGCACTGACCACAAAAGATATGAGAAGTTGGAGGAAAAGGATGGGTGATCCCAAAGCCATGCCCTGAAAGTCATTCTCCCCTAGGCTATTTTGCTGGACCTAGTATTACTGGGAAGCCTGCAATCAGACCTCATATGGGGATGCTGTCAAAAAAGACAACTAATTCCTCCTCACTTCACTGCAAACCTGGTTTGAATATTTTCAAAAGCCCAACACTTAATAGTAAGATAAAAACACTTTAAGAAGAACCTAAAGACACACACACCGTTTCAGCACAAAACATTTTTCCTGACCCATTAACTGTTCAACTACATTCAATAGTTCTCAAACCACCTTCAATTTTTCCTATCTCCATCAAAAATTCCAGAAAGCCTCACACAGACACAATTCAAGAAGCTGTATCTGAGAATTTACCCGAGCACGCCTTAATAATCTCCTCCCAAAAAGATGCTAGAGACAAAATGAAGGGAAAAATTCAACTAGTCACAGGTAAGTTGACACTCCCATGACCCTTGAATCACACATATGAAGAACTGCAGGCAACCAAAACGCTAATGTCTGTGACTCACAACTCACTCCAAGATGGTCAGACAGAAGCCTCCACGAACTTATTTCTCCACAGCCCTTCAGTCTCAAGTCCTCTAACCTTCGCCTCACACCCTGACATTTCTAGGAAGCCGACTCTGAGAACATCTGGAAAGTCCACCATTTACTGACGGAAGTCGCAGTAACGCAGGCAAGAGAGAAAAAACTCCTAAGGCTCTGAGCAAAGTTGCCTCCGGCAGCCCCTACCTATCTCTAGACCAGAGGTCCCAGCACAAGCTAGAGATGGCGGGAGCGGCTGAGACACACCCAGTTCCCGGCAGTGCGGCTCCAGCGCGGATACTAGATGCCGGACAGCCTGGGACGGGAGCCACGTGGACATCCCTTCCCCGCCCCCACGTGGACCCGCGCCCCGCGCTCCCCCCGCCCCCGCCGGCAAGCCCTACCCACGTGGGCGCCCGCGCCGCCTAGGGGGAGGGGGAGGCAGACAAGTTCTCCCGGGAAATCGTCCCCCCCCCAACACCCCACGTGCTCCAAAAAAGGAACTACGGCGCCAAGCTGGTGGAGCTTCTTCGGCATCCTTAGGAAGAAGTCTTAGCCTTCAACTCCAATCCTCAATCCCTGACGCCCCAGCTAGGGCCACGTTTCTGACGTCCGACACTGTCCCTCTGGCGTTCCCAGGAATCGCCGCAGGGTTCCTGCCTCTGCTGGCATAACCCCCTGCAAACAACTTAGGTCCCCTCAGCCCTACCCAACTCCCGCAGCATCGGCACGCAAGTGCTTCCTCCCTTTCCTGTGGCGTCCACGTGTCACCGCCCGGCACACGCCGCTTTGCTGCCAGCCGCGGGCCGCCGGCCACGCTCTTACCTGCTGCGCGGCGCTCACGGAGCCCACGGTCCCATATGGCGCTTGGCTTCGACTCGCCCAACTGCCGCCGCGCACTCCACCGCCAGGGTCAGGACCGGGGCCCCCAGTCGGAGGCGGCGCGACTCGGTCTCTCCGTCCCCGGCGCGCCGCCATCTTGGCCCCTGAACACCCAGCACTGCTCTGATCGCCGGCGCCGCCTCGCCCAGCCGATTGTGGGAAGGGAACTACGTCTCCCGAAGGACACTGCGAGACTACGAATCCCAGAAGACCATGCAGCGAACCACTTTGCACCCTGGAAGAAGACGAGGACCCTGACCTCCCTCAAGGATTTCTGGGAATTGTAGTCTCTGAAAGATTAGCGAATAGGGCTGTATGCGTATTGTAGGGCTCAGTTTTGACCAAGCTGCTGAGTACGCGGTAATAAGGAAAAGAGTTCATATTTGCGTACCACTTTATTTTTGTTAATTTGTCCAATGTTAGACCCTTTTCTTTGTTTGACATTCTACCTGGTGTATTTTCACCTTCAAGTCGACCACTTTTTTGAAACAGCACCCCCAAGTGGACACTCCCAGTCTAGACTCTAACCCTCCTAATCTCATACTGCGGCACTAGTGCAAATGTTTGTATTAAAATACCGCATTTTCCATCCTTTCTCTACAGTTTACTCAGAAAACTACGTTGGTTTCCCTCTATCAAGCTTCTTTCCTACTGCTCCAGAAATCCTTTCCATCTTCCAAGTGTTCTCACCCTTGTTTCTCTGCATGGAACTTTTAACCTCAAAATAGACTTCAAATCTTATTTAATGTAGGAAGGCTTTTCTGATTATCCCTGCCAGACACGATCCTTTTCTGTACTTTTACACTTCGTTTCTATTTTTGTTTT